TTCTTGTGAGAGAGAAGGACCTCCACCCGAACCAGCCTGCGGACCACATTTATACCGATGTGAGCTGGTTAGCGCCGGCAGCTGTGTGTGTGCGCCAGCATCAACGCAGCGCCGTTGGATGGAGGCTGTTCATCTTAGTGATCGACTCGTCATGTCAAGAGCGGCGGTGAGTTAAAATCCTGTTTAAGGACACCGGCTCATGTGGAGGCTGTTCCATCCTACGAGTGCGAGTTGACACCGCTTGAGTGAGGATCGTGCAGTTCTAGTTGGTAACGAGTTATTTTCGCTTACCGTTGTGCCGTGATCGACTCGTCATGTCTAGAGCGACGGTGAGTTTAAAAACCTTTAATTAAGGACACCGGCTCATGTGTGGAGGCTGTTCTGTGATCGACTCGTCATGTCTTAGAGCGACGGTGAGTTTAAAAAACCTTTATTTAAGGACACCGGCTCGTGTGTGGGGCTGTTTCATCCCACGAGTGCGAGTTGACATCGCTTGGGTGAAAAACGTGCAGCCCGGGATTATAACGAGTTATTTTCACTTACCATCGTGCCCTGTAAGCGACTGGTAATGTCTTGGAGCGGCGGTGAGTTTAAAAAGCCTTATAAAGGACACCGGCTCTTATGTGTGCGGCCGCTGTGAGCTCATCCGGGCTTACAGACTGGCTAAAAAACAGACACTTTGATCATTAATGATGATTTATTTCAACTTTCGTGTCACTTTTACACACACCCTCCGGAGACCGTCATTTTGAGAGCTTTCTCTCTCATGAGCTCTGCGATTGTTTGCCCAGAGCGCTGTCTTGCAGGCGAACTCTGGGGAAAACGCTGAGCTGCAGGCTGCCGGAGTGAAGAGGGCTGGATTCTGACGGGCGGGGCTGGTGGTGGAACTCAGCGAGAGCCGCGGCCGTGGAAAAGTCGAAGCTTGCTCGCGACGGTCCCTCCAGCGGGACGGGGTGGGCCGCGCGGCTTGATGAGGTGGCGCCAGCTTCTGGCACCTCCTCCGACTTTCACTTCGCCAGCATGGTTTGAAGCTGCTCTGAACAGCGCGTCCGCGATGGCTTCATCAGGTCTTGTGCAGATTCTCCGGCAGCGAGGGGAGTAACGAAGCCAGGTGGTTCGTTGGATCATCGTCCTCCGCGCTGCAGTCCTCGACAGGCAAACCGTGGGAGAGGCACACATGTTGAGCTGGCGTCAGCTGCCTTACAGAGGGAGTTCTTTGTCTCCAAGGCAGGTCTGCGGCCTTCAATCCCTTGGACATGCTATATGCTAGCAGCGCACGTTGTTGCTAACTGCGGCTGCCTGAAAAACACATTGGTGGGCTCGATTTGAGAGCGTGTTCGCCGTCTGGTTCGTGTTCCTCCGGAGGGACGGGACGCTGCTCCGACCTGGGCAGCTTCGCTCCGGAAGCTTCCGCGAGGCTTGGCTCCAGGGGGGGTTACCGAGGAATAGCCCCGCTCGGTGAATCCCTCAACTCTGGTGATGGGAGCGGACTGGGGACCGACTCCTCTAATCTACCAGGAAAGAACCGTCTGCGGCCTCGCCCGTGGAACGTCCTGTTAGAACGCGAGGCCGTATGGATCAAGACGGTGAGCCACAGTGGAGCCCAGTGAAAAATAACCTTTCCGCCGATCATCCGAACTGGCGGGAAAAGGCGAGGGACGTAGAAAAAAGGGGTCCCTTCATGTCAGCCTCCTCCCGGGTTCCGCCGGGCAACCCCTGAGGGCGCTGTCGGCCGGGAGCGGTGTGATCGCCGATGCGAAACGAGGTGGGATGGGGTGAGCATTCACTCAGCCCCCCTCCACCTACACTACGCTCCCCAGGAGGGAATGAGCAGCGGGGGCTGCAGCTGAGCACGCCTTGCCCCGGAGGAACCATCCGGTTCGCCCCGAGGGTCGGCGATAAGAGGAAAAAACACAAGATGGCGTTGTCCAGCGTGTAGTGACCTGTCACTGGGAAATGTTCCTCGACGCTTACCTTGGAATAAGACTGCTGTCATCTTCTCCTCGGGGAGGAGAATTCACCGGACGACCGGAGGTCGACTGCCGGGCCAAGCATCCTTCACAAGGTTGGTCATTTACACAATTTATCTTCTTTGTTCTTCTGACAGTGCTATATTAGCTCGCTGAAGAAAAAATGGGAGCCGATTTCCCGCTCTTAACGTAATTTATACGGACCGGGTGGGGCCCACACAGCAGGTGGGCGTGGACTAATTTTTTCAGTGCTTATGCTCTGCATAACGGGATAAACCCACTAAAGCGAAGGCCTTAAAGGGCGAAGCTTATACGACATAGAACTTTTATCATCTTTGGATACATAACCCTTTAGAACTGATAGGTTGTCCACAGCTGCTTTTCTTTAGAACTGTGTCTGATTCTGTTCCACAGAAACGAGCGTCCCTTTGTTTGTAGCATATGTGGCCACGCATTCTCTCAGAAAAACAACCTCAACTTGCATCTGCGTGTGCACAACGATGAGAGGCCTTACCAGTGTCACCTCTGTGGGAAAACCTTCAGGACACAAGGTACTGACCCGTCTGATCGGCGTGTGCAGTTTCAGGGCTATGAATAAGTAATCCTGTAATAAATGGCGTAAGAAAGAAAAACCTGATTTTACATGGTCACAAATAAAACACAATTTAATGTAGTTATTGGTGTCAAAACTGTAGTTTGTACATATTACAGTTTTAATGTGTTTAGAGGAGAGGCTTCTTTTTTTTTAAAACATCTCAGAGATTTTAGTCACCACTTTGTCTCCACAGCCTGAGCAGTCAGTAAGAGTTTACTTTTGCTCAGACTGTTTGTGTTTCATTACCAGCCACTGTGGACAGGCACAGCCGGACGCACACGGGCGAGCGTCCCTACAGCTGTGACGTCTGCGAGCTGCGTTTCACAGAGAAGGGCGCCCTCCTTCGACACAAGACCAGCAAGCACGAGGAGGGCCGACCCCACAGCTGTTACATCTGTAACAAAACATTCAAAGGTCCGATGAAGCATGCTGATCCCTCTGACCTGAGCAAAAATGAAGTCCATTTGGACAAAGATGGATGTGAATTTGTGCACTTATTTCTTGTTTATCTCCAGCAAGGGGACAATTGCACGTCCATCTGTGCCGCCACAAAGGCATGAGGAAGTTTGAGTGCATCGACTGCGGCTACAAGTTTACCCGACAGGTGTGTTTAGACACAAAACGCTCCTAACCCCCACAATCCAAAACCCATCAAATGCTGGTTTTATGTGTTATACTTTGGCTGCTGCTATAATTTGTCTAAAATACCTGTTATTTCCTACAGTCAGAAATCAGAGTTCATTCTATACTTCATATTTTCTGATCCATGGTCAGAAACACAAATGTACACAATTCAGATGCTTTGTATTTTATTTGAAGATAAACCTTTTGGGCTACATAACTTGTATTATACAGATTCTGATGGGACATCAATGTTTCCCCTAGTTTGTTTGCCATGGCGGGGTGCTCATCTCATCCATGATTTTTGCTAATGGGAGGGACGGAGACATGTCTGAGCGCAGCTTGTACTAACAGTTTTTGAGCGGGGGCAGGGAGTGTTCAACATGAGGGAAGAGGTAATGTGAGTGCTGCCTTGGGCTTTTTAGCTAGAGAGCCTGTATTTTGCGCCACTATCTTAGTGATATAATAATAATAATCATTATTTTATTTAAAAAGCGCCTTTCAGGACACCCAAGGACACTTTACAGTAAGAAAATACATAAAGAATATAAAATGCATACAGAATATAAAATACATACAGAATATAAAATACATACAGCAAAGTTAAGGATAAGCGAGTCTAAAGAGGTGTGTTTTCAGAGCAGTCTTGAACAGAGAAAGAGAGGTGGTGTTTCGTAAGTCAGGGGGTAGAGTTCCAGAGATGAGGGGCAGAGCAGGTGAAGGCACTGCTCCCCATGGTGGAGAAGTGGGCAGAGGGTACATGGAGGTGTAGGGTGTAGTGAAGAGGAGGATCTGAGAGAGCGAGAGGGGATGGAGATGTGTAGGAGGTCAGATAGGTACGGAGGGGCAAGGTTGTGGGTAGCTTTGAAAGTGAGAAGAAGAATTTTGAAGACGTTGCGTGATTTAACCGGGAGCCAGTGGAGCTGCTGCAGGACTGGAGTGATGTGATTATAGGAGGAGGTTTGAGTGATGACACGGGCAGCTGAGTTCTGGACCAATTGCAGCTTCTGGAGAGATTTGTTGGAGAGGCCATAGAGAAGGGAGTTGCAGTCAGTCCGAGAAGTCACAAGACTGTGCACAAGGATGGCTGTGGAGCGGGGTGTGAGAGAAGGGTGCGAGATGGTTAATATTTCGGAGATGGAAATAGGCAGACCGAGTGACATTGTTGATGTGTGAAGTGAAGGAGAGAGTGGTGTCGAGGATGACACCAAGACTCTTGACCTGAGGTGAGGGGGATAGCAGAGAGTTGTTAAGGGGGATGAGAAGATGTTCTGATTTTGAAATAGAGTTTTTGGTACCAACAAGAATGATTTCTGTTTTGTCACTGTTTAGTTGTAGGAAATTGTAAGAAAACCAGTGATTTAGCTTGAGACAGTTGGTGAGGGTGGGTGGGTGGATTATGGTTTTGTTGACAAGTAGAGCTGTGTGTCATCAGCATAACAGTGAAAATGGACACCAAATTTATGGAAGATGTGACCTAGAGGTAGGAGGTAAATGATGAAGAGGAGGGGTCCGAGGACAGAGCCTTGGGGGACACCCTTGGAGATGGGGGAAGACTGGGAACGAAAGGATTTAAGCTGAATGAATTGAGTGCGGTCAGAGAGATATGATTTGAACCAGTCTAACGGAGTACCTGAGATGCCTATAGAGGTTAGTCTGTTGAGGAGGATAGAATGACAGATTGTGTCGAAGGTAGAACTTAAATCAAGTAGAATGAGGATGGACAGAAGACCAGAGTCAGCAGCAAGGAGAAGGTCATTAGTTATTTTTATTAGAGCTGTTTCAGTGCTATGGTGGGGGGCGAAAACCAGATTGAAACTCTTCATAAATGTTGTTGTTGGATAGGTGAGAGTGAAGTTGACTAGCAACGGCTTTTTCAAGAACTTTGGAAATAAAGGGCAGATTAGAGATCGGACAAAGATTACTGAAGTTGGTAAAGTCAAGACCTGGTTTCTTGATGATGGGGGTGATGGCCGTAGATTTGAAAGCTGTGGGAACAATGCCAGAGGTTAGGGAGAAGTGGATGATGTTAGTGATGATGGGGAGCAGAGACGGGAGACAGGATTTAAAAAGAACTGTGGGAAATGGATCGAGCTGATAGGATGAGGACTTAGACTTGCTGATAATGTCAGCAATGTCATCAGCAGAGGGGAGGGAGAAGACAGAGAAGGGGAGGGAGGAGTTCAACATAGATGCTGGGGGCGGTATTAGGTCCAAGGTGTTTATGAATTGAAATAATCTTTTCATTGAAGTAGGACATCAGAGAGTTGCAAAATTCTGTGGAAACCATGTGAGAAGCTAATGAGTTAGGAGATGAGACTGAACGGTTAAGGAGAGAGAACAAAGTCTTTGAATTGCCAACATTGGAACTGATGATGTCAGAGAAGTAGCTGGATTTGGCTTGAGAAATACTGTCCTTATACTGGAGGACGTGGTTGGCATGGAGTTCCTTGTGAATTGAGAGACCAGATTTCTTATAGAGTCGCTCCAACCTCCGACCTTTGGATTTCAGAGAACGGAGTTCTGGAGTGAACCAGGGTGCAGAGTTGGAGAAGGAGACAGACCGGGTTTTCAGAGGAGCGACAGAGTTAAGAATGTTGATGAGGCTGTTATTGTAGAATGTGACAAGGTCATCTGGGTTAAAAGGATTGAAGGTGAAGAAGGTACTATTAATATGAGACAAAAGAATGTCATGGTTGATATTCTTAATATTACGGAAGGAAAGAGTGCGTTGAGGTTTCTCTGAAGAAAATTTAAGATTGACACTGAATGAAATCATGAGGTGATCAGTAAATGGAAGTTCATCAGAAGAACAGTTTAGAGGAGAGAATCCAGAGCAGCATAATAAGTCCAAAGTGTGGCCCTTTATGTGGGTTGGAAAGTTAATGAACTTCTGGAAGCCACAGCTGTCAAGGCTGGATGTTAAATCTCTGGTGAGGGGGTTGTTGTCTTCATCCATATGAATGTTGAAGTCTCCAAGCAGAATAATGTTGGGTGAAAGAGCTGAGAGATGGGCGATTAGAGCAGCAAAGTCATTTATAAAAGAGTTGTTGATTTTGGGCGGACGGTAGAAAGTGGCAACAATGTTGGGGGTGGTGCCGGAGAGTAGACACACAGTGTGCGTAAAGGAGGGAGAGGGAGGTGTGTGAACTGGCGTGACCTTCCAGTTCTCGCGGTGAATTATCGCGAGACCTCCTCTGCGGCCGGACACGCAGGATTTGGCGATGTAAACAAACCCCGGTGGGGTAGATTCATTCAAATGGAAAAATTAATTTTGTTGTTGCCACATTTCTGTTAGACAAATAAAATATAGCTTACGGTCAGATATTAGGTCTTGAATAAGCTGACCTTTGCCAGTGAGTGAGCGAGCGAACGTTCAGAAGGCCAAACTTTACAGAGGAGGAGTTGGTAACGACCGGAGCATTAGCCGACCGAGCTAGGCTAGCTAACATGCTATTACTGTTAACGGCCCGGGTATTGCAGTATGTAGAATGGTGAGAGTCAGACCAGACAGAGTTTATGGGGTTAGACTTGTCAGCATGGAGTCTACGGCGGGAGCCACGGTGAATGTATCTCCGGCGAGGATGGAAGGTAATGTCCTGAAGAGGGAGCACAGGTGGCACGGCTGGTAGGAAACGAAGGCGAAGGAGCTCGACCGCTGAGTAATGGAGAAGGCCAGACACCGGGTGGTGGTGGATGAGCAGATGGAGAGTCCAAAGCAGAGCAGGCAGCAGGTAAATCCTAATGAACCACATGGTTGATATTGAGACGGATCAGAGACTTGGTGTAGCGGAAAAGGCAGGAAGGACTGAATAAAACAGAAAAAAGCAAAAATGCATGACGAGCAGCGGCAGCCAGGATGAGCCAGTGTTCGCTCACCGGAAGTCCTGTCAGTGCCGGTGGGGGTGGGAGGGGCAAGTTCAGTTTGGTAGGCGGGGTGCTCAGTTTTGTTGGCGGGGTGGGGCACCCCACCTGTATAATGGTAGGGGGAACACTGGACATGGCAAAAAACAGATCTATTCTCAGGTCCAGATTTTCACAGGCAGCTCAGTGGAAAATCTGACTGGAAAACGAATCATAACAAACACAGGTAATCTGACAGAGGACTGGGAACAAGGTCATGGATGTATGTGTGTGGGGGAGGGGGGGTCGACTGAGAGCTAAAGGAGTGAAGCAGTGGAGGAAAACTCATGTGGATCAAAGACAGAAACCACAATGAGCAAAAATGACTATTTCTAATTAAAACAGAAATTGCAAAAACACAAAAAATGGCAAAATAATTCAAAAACAAAAAGTCCAAAGTTTCAATAGGGTGCCATTTAGTTAGCAGCATAACACCTCATAAATGCAAAGGAATAAAAATAAATATTTGATTTGATTTCAAAACCTAATAAACATCTGTGGTCATATGCAGTCTTTCCTAATGTCTGAACTCCTTCATTCATTTAATACCAGCCATTATCTAACGTTAGTTCTGAAGCTGGGTTGTGGAGTTCTGAAGCTTAAACAGGGAGGCCCAGACATCACTTCCACAGTAGTTCTTCTAGGACTCCAAGGCGTTCCCAGGCCGAGAGACATTGAACGTAGTCTCTCCAGTGTGTCCTGGGTCTTCCCCAGGGTCTGCTTTCAGTTGGAAATGCCCGAAGCAACTCCCTAGGGAGGCGCCCAGGGAGCATCCTGAACCACCTCAACTGGCTCCTCTTGATATGGAGGAGCAGTGGTTCTACTCCGAGTCTCTCCTGGATAACTGAACTTCTCACCCTATCTCTAAGGGAGAGTCCAGCTACCCTGCAGAGGAAACTCATTTCAACCTCCTGTATCCACGATCTCGTTCTTTCGGTCACTGCCCAGAGCTCTTGATCATAGGTGAGGGTAGGAACGTAGACCGACAAGTAAACAGAAAGCTTTGCCTTACAGCTCAGCTCCCTCTTCACAGCAGATGGTGCAATGTCTACAATACTGAAGACTCTACACCAATCCTTCTTTCAATCTCACGCTCCATTCTTCTCTCACTTGTGAACAAAACCTCAAGATACTTGAACTCCTCCACTTGAGGCAGAACCTCACCCTCAACCTGACTAGAGCAATCCACCCTTTTCCAGTTGAGGACCATGGCCTCAGATTTGGAGGTGCTGATTCTCATCCCAGCCGCTTCACACTCTGCTGCGAACCATTCCAGTGAGAGCTGAAGATCACAGCACGATGATGCCAGCAGGACCACATCATCTACAAAGAGCAGAGATGGAATCCTGAGGCCACCAAACCGGAATCCCTCCACCCCCTGGCTGCACCGAGAAATTCTGTTCATAAAAGTTATGAACAGAATCAGTGACAACAGGCAGCCCTGGCAGAGTACAACTCCCACCCTGAAGGGGTCCAACTTACTACCGGCAATGTGAACCAAACTCTTGCACCGCCTGTATAAAGACTGAACAGCCCGTAACAATGGGCCCCCAATCCCATACTTATGGAGCACCCCGCACAGTGTACCTTGAGGAACACGGTCGAATGCTTCTCCAAGTCCACAAAACGTGTAGACTGGATGGGCAAACTCCCATGACCCCTTGAGGACTCTAGTGAGGGTAAAGAGCTGGTCCAGTGTTCCATGGCCAGGACAGAACGAACCCACATTGTTCCTCCTGGATCTGAGGTTCGACCAACGATTGGACTCGCTTCTCCAGTACCCCTGAATAGACCTTACAATGGAGGCTGAGGAGAGTGAGGCTCTTGTAATTGGAGCACACCCTCCGCTCCCCCTTTTTGAAGAGAACCACCACCCCAGTCTGCCCAGTCCAGTGGCACTGCCCCCGATGTCCACGTGATATTGCAAAGATATGTCAACCAAGACAGCCTGGAAGTCAGTCATATTATTTATTTTATTTTATTTTAAGTTCCCTTCTGCCAAAAAGTAAAGGCAGAATATATTGTTTTTGTGTTTGTTAACAAAATATCTCATAAAACACTGGACATGAAACTTGCAAAGTAATCACTGGATGGAAATCTACAACTGATTCACTTTTGGTCTCTTGTTTTGTTACACTCAGCTGTAATTGTTTACCAGAGTTGTTCTTCTCTCTCCTCTTGCAGGCACACCTGCGACGACACATCCTCATCCACAAACGCACAGAGAACTACAACCCACGGCAGAGGAAGCTGAGGAACGTCATTGTGCAGGAGGTCTGTGGAGATCCCAACAAGGACAAAGCCACTCAATCTGTGGAGGCTCAACAGACCAGAGATCATACCCAAGAGTCCACCCTTGGATCTGAGCCCACGACCCCACAGCTAGACTCTCCCTTGGGCCTCGACCCCAGCAGCATCGTCACGGTGGACATTGAGTCTAGAGACACGGCGTTGAAGGAGGCAGCGACCAATCAGAACGGGGAGCATGGCAAAGAAGCAGAGAGTTCCTCCGAGTCTGAATCATTTTAGACGGGTCAGCTGGTGGGTGAGGAGTATGAGGAGACGGTGGACATGAGGGCATCGTAGAGGGTTTATCTCAAAGTCAAACCTGACAGAACAGTTTCTGACACCTCCTTGTTAATTTCACAGAGCAGTTTTGATAAAATATAACGTTCAGTGAATGTGGGGAGATCTCCCACTCACATCTGTCAGGACTGTCAGCTACCATCACAATATCTGTAACACCGAGTTAGACATTTTTTATTTTCTGTAGTCAGTTGGCTGTGGTTGCCATTTTGAATCAGGATGACTCCAGCAGTTGTAGATGGACATTCAGTGATTGTTTAAAAGTTGTTGTTTTTTTAATGTGTCAAGTGGTTCATGAGATATTTTGCAGACAGAGACACTTACACTTAGAGATGAAAGCATTGTCACTCATCTTTTTTCTTTTGACTATAATGGTTGGATGATTTGGACTAAAGAATTCATATGCACTGAAACAGAGCGTCACTTTTAACCTTTATTCTGTTGTCAGAGTCAGAGTTTCTTTATTGTCATTCGCACCTCATGTGGTACATGTGGTGGAGCGAAATTATGTACAAGGGGTCCCAGTTACATCCAACAATAAAATGTACAAGAAAAACGGTAATAACATCTAAGATATGAACTAAGAAAAACAACTAAATATACACTAAGCACTCATAACATAAAACATTGAACATCAGCACAAACATGAACATGAGTCTGTGTGAGCAGATGAGCACGCATGAACACATCAACATAGAAACAGATCAGCAGCAACATGTAACAGATCAGCAGCAACATGATATGGTTTTTCACAGTGATTATTCTAGTTAGAGATTCATGAGTCTAACAGCCTCAGGGTAGAAGCTGTTCGTCAGTCTAGTGGTTCTACACTTAATGCTCCTTAACCTCCTTCCTGAGGGGAGTGGGGCAAAAGGTGTGTGTGCTGGGTGAGTGGGGTCCTTCATGATGCAGGTGGCCCTCTTCCTGCATCTGGAGGTGTAGATGTCTGTGATGGTGGGGAGGCTGATTCCGACAGATTTCTGTGCAGCCTTCACCACTCTCTGCAAAGCTTTTCTTTCTGCAGCTGTGCAGCCTCCATGCCACACATTGATGCTCGAGCACAGGATGCTCTCCACTGCACACCTGTAGAAGGAGGTGAGGACTGAGCTTCCCAGACCAGCTCGCCTCAGCCGTCTGAGGAAGTAGAGTCTCTGATGAGCTTTCTTGATCAGGCTGGTGGTGTTGTTGCTCCAGCTGAGGTTGTCATTCATGTGTACACCCAAGTACTTGTAGCTGGAGACCACTTCCACCGCAGATCCTCTTATGTTCAGGGGGGTGTAGATGTTTTTGTTCCTTCTGAAGTCCACAATCATCTCCTTTGTCTTCTTCACATTGATGTGAAGGTTATTCTCTTTGCACCAGCTCTCCAGGTGTTCCACCTCTTGCCTGTAGCTGGACTCGTCATTGTTTGTGATGCATCCCACCACCGCTGTGTCATCTGCAAACTTTACAATGTGACAGCCTGGATGGGTAGTTGCACAATCATACGTGAGCAGAGTAAACAGGAGGGGTCTCAACAAACATCACTGAGGAGAGCCAGTGCTGAGGGTTATGGTGGAGGAGGAAAGGTTGTGGATCCTCACTAACTGTGGTCTGTTTGTTAAGAAGTCTAGTACCCAGTTGCAAATAGAGGGGCTTAGTCCTAGTGTGGATAGTTTGTCCATCAGGGTTTGGGGGATCATGGTGTTGAAGGCGGATGTGAAGTCCACAAAGAGCATACGGACGTAAGAGTTTTTCTGCTCCAGGTGGTTGAGCGCAGTGTGGACCACAGAGGAGATTGCATCCTCTGTTGATCGGTTCTCACGGTATGCATACTGATGAGGGTCCTCGTTGATGTTGATGGTTGTTTTGATATGAGTCATGACCAGTTTTTCAAAGCATTTAGCGACTATCGGGGTGAGGGCCACTGGCCAATAGTCAAGCTGGATAATTTAATTAACCTCCTGAGACCCTGCATCCACATATGGGGACATTACATTTTGGCTTTGCTGTACTTCACTCTGTTCAACAGTGTTTTATACAGGTCCTTCTCAAAAAATTAGCATATTGTGATAAAGGTCATTATTTTCCATAATGTAATGATAAAAATGAAACTTTCATATATTTCAGATTCATTGCACACCAACTGAAATATTTCAGGTCTTTAATTGTTTTAATACTGATGATTATGGCATACAGCTCATGAAAACCCAAAATGCCTGTCCCAAAAAATTAGCATATCATGATGTAGATGAACATATATCTGTGATATATTCATAAATTAAACGGATTCTTTCATTTTTCTGGACTGAATAATATCGTGCATTGAATAATTAAATGTGACGTGAGACGTTAATTTTCTTTGACCCATCAAATGAATGCGGTCATTTATTAACAGAATCAAAGTTTAACATCACACATTTACATTAATTTGGCAAATTGATTTCAACAACAGCTTAATTAATTAGCTTTACAGTTAGAAAACCATACGGCCATGATTTCCTCACTTCAAGCATTACAACAGACATTTCTGAAAATATCTGGATTAATTACTAGCAAGATAGAAGAGTTTAAAGATGGAAATGAAGTTTAAATTGAGAGAGATGGGTGAGGGAATTTGTCTGTCATAACCAGAACAACACGCTCCTTTGGACCCAGCTTAACCAACGGTACACTTTGTGGTTGAAGATCGACTCTTTTACCTTTGCAGACGATAGTTTGGCCTCGGTGTAGAGTTGTCTTTCAACGCTTTACAGCGTCTCCATAAGGATAGTAGGGAACCGTTCGGAGTCGTGAGATCATCCCAGAACAGACTTCTTCATAGTTCCTCTGAACTTCTCTCGTTCAGCTCAGTTGCAGTTGTTCTCCAGCATTCTGAACTCTGCATTCTCTCTCCGCACTCTCCCCGCACTCTACTGCACTCTCCTGGAACTAGGAAGTGTTGAACCTTTTAAAGAGGTCACTTCCGGTTCCTCTGAGAGCTTCCTGATTGGTCGATTGACCAAACAGGGGTGTGTTTTAGTGATGTAAGAGGTTATTAAAAGTCAAGGGAAAAAGATTAGATTGTTTAAGAACAGACAGAAGATGTTATGAAGATCCCGAGACTTCGTGGAGTCAGTTCTCTCATATCTTTCTGTAAAAGTTAAACATGACATTTCTTTCCAGTAAACTTACAGTTGACCGAAACTTGACCTTTGACCAACTTACACTTGCTCATTTCAGACAGAAGATCAAGAAAAATGAATAATTACTCTGTAACAGACCTTAACTTGATTTCTACTTTGAATGAGGATTAAAAATTAATTAATACTGTTTCACAGTTGATTTAAAATGAGTAGTTCACTTCAACATTTAAAATGGTTTGAACTAACACACTTTGATTATCAAGACATTTGTAAGATAGTAATGATAATAGAAAAAGAGAGTGTTCTTTCAATTGATCAGTGCAGGACACTTAGAAAGTCTCTGGATGGACTTGATTTTGTGTTTCTGGACTCAAATCAATGAAATACAGTTTTTGTCCCAGGAAGGCCCTCAAGGTCAGCATTTGACCTGAGGCTTAGTTCACTACAATGAAAAGGTTCTGTAAACAAGCTATTAACCTAACCATCTGAATCAACGACGTAACTCTAAACACCTGCAAAAGATTCCTGAGGCTTTTAAAAACTCCCAGCCTTGTTCATTACACAAAACCGCAATCATGGGTAAGACTGCCGACCTGACTGCTGTCCTGAAGGTCATCATTGACACCCTCAAGCAAGAGGGTAAGACACAGAAAGAAATTGCTGAACGAATAGGCTGTTCCCAGAGTGCTGTATCAAGGCACCTCAGTGGGAAGTCTGTGGGACGGGAAAAGTGTGGCAGAAAACGCTGCACAACGAGAAGAGGTGACCGGACCCTGAGGAGGATTGTGGAGAAGGGCCGATTCCAGACCTTGGGGGACCTGCGGAAGCAGTGGACTGAGTCTGGAGTAGAAACATCCAGAGCCACCGTGCACAGGCGTGTGCAGGAAATGGGCTACAGGTGCCACATTTCCCAGGTCAAGCCACTCTTGAACAAGAGACTGCGTCAGAAGCATCTCGCCTGGGACTGCTGCTGAGTGGTCCAAAGTTATATTCTCTGATTACAGTAAATTTTGTATTTCCTTTGGAAATCAAGGTCCCAGAGTCTGGAGGAAGAGAGGAGACACAGAATTCACATTGCTTGAGGTCCAGTGTCAAGTTTCCACAGTCACTGGGGTGTCATGTCATCTGCTGGTGTTGGTCCACTGTGTTTTATCAAGCGCAGGGTCAATGCAGCTAGCTATCAGGAGATTTTGGAGCACTTCATGCTTCCATCTGCTGAAAAGCTTTATGGAGATGACGATTTCATTTTTCAGCACGACCTGGCACCTGCTCACAGTGCCACAACCAGTGGTAAATGGTTTACTGACCATGGTATTACTGTGCTCAATTGGCCTGCCAACTCTCCTGACCTGAACCCCATAGAGAACCTGTGGGATATTGTGAAGAGTAAGTTGAGAGACGCAAGACCCAACACTCTGGATGAGCTTAAGGCCGCTATCGAAGCATCCTGGGCCTCCATAACACCTCAGCAATGCCACAGGCTGATTGCCTCCATGCTACGCCGCATTGAAGCAGTCATTCATGCAAAATGATTCCCAACCAAGTATTGAGTGCATAACTGAACATGATTATTTGAAGGTTGGCATTTTTTGTATTAAAAACACTTGTCTTTTATTGGTGGGATGAAATATGCTAATTTTTTAGGACAGGCATTTTGGGTTTTCATGAGCTGTATGCCATAATCATCAGTATTAAAACAATTAAAGACCTGAAATATTTCGGTTGGTGTGCAATGAATCTGAAATATATGAAAGTTTCATTTTTATCATTACATCATGGAAAATAATGACCTTTATCACAATATGCTAATTTTTTGAGAAGGACCTGTACTTCGTTAAACCATGTTAATATTGTTGTGTTATGCTGTAAAATAAGCATATTGTCCCCATCTGAGGACTTTTTTTTTTTTTTACAAAAGTATGTCATAACCAGGGCATTAACAGAGTACTCGAGTAATCTACACATCGATTGCTAGGACATCTATCGATGTTAAAAATGTAACGTTGGGTATCCGTAGTGACGTCATATTATGTGACCACGTATGACCGTAGGGGGCGGTGTTGCACTGTTGCAGGTCACAGAGTATGGTGTATCACCGGGTCCTATCCACCGAACAAGAACCAGTTTCGGTTTAAGTTTCGTTTTTGACGTGCTGCGTTTCTTCACGTTCGCAGTTTAATAATAATAACTAATGGTTTTGTTTTTACTGTGACTTATTTGCAGTATGATAAATGGTAGGAGCATAATATACGCTCCCAATGTTTTGTTGGTCTTTTTTTTTTTTTTTTTTTTTTGTAAATACCGTTTTTTGCGGTTTTATTTATTTATTTATTTTTGTATCTTGAGATCTATGACGTCATCAAATACTCTAGTTCTACTCGGGTTTTATTATGTTAATGTCGAGTTTAAAAATTATATACTCGTTCAACCCCTAGTCATAACCATGTAACAAAATACAACTTCCTGTTTGAAGAGGAAGCTTTATTTATACACAAATTAAGGTCCATCTAATCTCAAATATCTAGGAGATATGAAAATTGCATCGCAAACCAGAGCTCGGGTTTCAGGAAGTTAAGACTAAAATAATTAAAATTTAAACCTGTTTGTTAAAAGAAAATGCTTTTTCTTTTTTCTGAGAAACATTCATCCGTCCATTATCTTTACCTGTTTCTTCCTTTTCAGGTCGTGGGGGTCACTGATGCCCATGTCCAGCAGTCACTGTGTGAGAGGCAGGGGACACCCTGGACAGGTCTCAGTCCATCACAGGGACACATAGAGACAAACAACCATTCACTCTAGGGACAATTTAGAGTTGCCAATCAGTCTAACATGCATGTTTTTGGTCTGTGGGAGAAAACTGGAGCAACTGGAGAAAACCCACGCAGAACAGAGAGAACACGCAAACTCCACCCAGAAAGGCCCTCGGCCGGGATTTGAACCAGCGACCTTCTCACTGAGAGGAAACAGCTCTACCAACTGAGTCACGGTGCCATCTTTCTAAGAAACGCATATTCAGAATAAAAAGGCATTTAAATTTCAAAGTTTCTTATATTTCTTTATTTTTTTTAAACAAGTGTAATAAATAAGAAACAAATGGTTTTAAAACGTCACATTCCTTCTTGAACACTGCAGACTTCTTTACCCTCACCAAAAAAGCACAAGCAGCACATTGTTCTCTTTAAAAGGACAGTACAAATGCCTAAAAATGATGCATAAAATGAAAGTGTAAGCTCTTCTAGACAGATGTTGATGCACCAAGACACTAATTCTGACAACTTGGAACAACTCGGAATCGAAGTTTCAGCCTGCCTCAGCAATGCCAAACCACCACCTTCCAACATCAGTAGAGAGGAGAGGGATCCACTCACCACTCTTCGCAAGGACAAAAACATCATCATTCTCCCAGCAGACAAAGGAAGGTGCACAGTGATTTTGAACCAGAAAGACTATCATGAGAAAGTTATGACATTCCTTAGTGACTTAACCACTTATGAACCTATGAAAAGAGATCCAGAAAGTGGTTACAAGAAGTTGTTAGATTGCCTGAAAAATTTGGAGCAGGACAAGGCTATTGACCGTATTCTGTACCACAGACTGTACCCAGGGGAGGCCACATCTAGTCTGTATGGTTTACCTAAAATTCACAAACAAGGTGTACCTTTAAGACCAATGGTTAGCATGATTAACGCTTGTCACTTACAATGTTTCCAAATATCTGGTGTCTGTACTCATCCCTTTAGTTGGCAGCTCAGAACACCACATACAGAACACCATGGACTTTGTGGATAAGGTGAGGGATGTCATCATGGAGACTGATGAAACAATGGTCTCTTTTGATGTCACATCACTCTTTACGTGCATTCCCTTTGATGATGCAGTAGAGGTGGTCAGTTTAAGATTAAAATCAGTACCACACTTTCCACAGAACAACTGTGTCAACTCTTGAAAACGTGCCTGCAGTCAACCTACTTCACATATGGGGAGCAATATTATAGGCAGAAACGTGGGTGTGCTATGGGGTCTCCAGTTTCTCCCTTTTTTTTCCCTTGTCCTGTCCAGCATTGTGACACTTAGAATTATTGTCTGAGTGTCAAAGTGATGCCCAACAGATTTACTTTCACAAGCAGAGCATTATGGCTGGCCTTAATGCTCCACTTGATATATAAATAAAATTTTATTAGAATATGCTTTGGGTTTGTTTCAGATGTAATGGACACGGAGACGGAAAACAAAGAAGATAACAAAGCAGAAAAGTGAGAGAAGAGTTAAAATGTAAAGAAGGAGATAGAAATAGAGGAGAGAGAGAGGGATAAAGAGAACACAAATCAACATCATTGAAGTCTGCCTCTAGACCTGCGGAAAGAGAAAAAAACCCCGACAAAACCAAGAAACCACAACAACAAACAACTTATATAATTATAGTTATAACATCATTAGAAAGTATTTTATACAGTACATGGTAATACAATATATATTTGATGGTCACCACAACCCAACTGAGTGTGTATCTGATAAACACCCAAATCTAAACACCTGTGTGAGCATGCTTATCTCTATAAGGTTTCTCCATAAAAATGTTCAATAATGGATGTGGGGACCCATAAACCCGTCCCCACAGGACACAAAGGTAACACAGGGAAGACCGGAACCACAGACACATAGCGGCCCTCAAGCCCGGAACTCCGGTAGTCCCCCAACAGGGACACCCGCACCCCCCAGAGAGAGAAGCAAAGGGAAGCCCTGGGCGATCCCAACAACCACAATGCAGAAACCCCCAGGAGGCTGCAGCAACGAGTCAACAGGTCCCGCCGGCAACCCACCCCTCCAGAGTGGATGGACGCCATGGACACCAAGCCCCGAGTCCCGAGGTCATACCACCCCCCAACAGAGGCCCGACAGAGCCAGGTCCAAGAGAGGGGGGCCACCCAAAACCCAACCGGAGACAAACAGGCACACAGAGACAGCCCGACAGAGCCTCTGTTGGGCCGTCCATGCGCCCCACCTGCCCAACAGTGACCGCAAGCTGGCCCCAGGCCGGGGGCCAGAGCAGCAGGGAGCAGCAGCTGAGGAAGGCCAGCCCAGCGCACCAATGCATCCCTAAAGCCCCACACCACAGGCCCGGAGAAGCCCCGGCACGCCACCCATGCACCCCCCCCCACCCCCACCCACACACACACACACACACAGCACCCCGCACCGTGAATGTCAAATCAGGCCGACCAGCCAACATTCCGTCGAAGTGAAGCCATGCCCCCGACCACTGCCACGCACTACCAACGACCACACACACACAACCACAGCCGACCTCCCGCCAGAACCCGGCAGCCACCCCAGCCAAAGGGCTGGCCATCGGAACCAGGAACCCCGATCAAAGGATCCAAACAATCCAGAGAGAACCGGAGCACCAGCCCCACCCCCAATCGCCCCCAAAGGCCCAATACCCACCCACAGCCCAGACCCCAACCAGGCAGCCTACCCCCCCCCCTCCCCCGACCCCAAATGTCAGATGGAGTTTGAGGGTTTAAGGAAAACTGGAAGACCCAACTCCTCCCTCCCCCCACTCAAATAAGATGTTGATGCATGTTGTTATATAGTGCGTTTAAAGTGGGGGGGTCAGGCGGCAACTGGCACAGACCCACCCCTTCCCCAGAGAGCAGGCAGTGCCCGTTTGCCCCCCCCAACCCTTGCCCAGAACCCTAAATGTCTACATGCTACATATGAGAGTGGGCACAGGTCCCAGAGGTGAGAATGATTACACATCCCACCCCCTATATGCCACCATGTTCCCACTCCAGACCCTATATATGCATGTGTTGCGAGAATGTTATATGCGAGTGTCTAGGTTGTTTGATAAAATTGGGGCCCAGGTCTCCACGAACCACGGAGATGGAGGATCCTCCCCGCAGCTCAGTAGTGCACCTGAACCCCAAGGCCCTGCTTGAGTGGTGCTGTGATGGAGTGGGTGGAGGAAGACGTCAGGATGGGGAGGGACAACTGAGGTGGCATTGCCCTCCCAGGGGGCCAGCTCCCCCACTGACCCCAATAGGCCCCCCCATTCTCCGAGATCCACCAGGGGAGGGAGGCTCGAGTGCATCCATCTAGGAGCAGGAGGCAGCCGCACCACCAGGGACCCAGGCCACGGACCGGCACATAGCACAGAGGACTGACCAGAACCCGAGCCAGCGACCCAAGCCCCCCCGAGATCGTCCAGACCCTCAACCCGATCTCCAGCTCAACACCCAGCCCCCAAACCAAAGAAGCCACCAAACTCCAGCAGCGACAATGAGCCAGGAGTGCCTGAACAGCCGCAGACAGCGCACCACGATGACCGAGAGCGCACCCCCACAAAAGGACCGACCAGTCCACCCCAGCAACACCCACAATGAGAGCACCTCATGCAAGGGAGGGCACACGCCTAACACGCCCAGACACCCCCGGACCAGCAGTGCAGAGCCACCCAAGCAAAAGCCCCCCCACCCACAGCCCAGAAGCCCAGCCAAGCACCAGTCCGCAGCCACAGCCAGGCAGGAAGACACTCAGGCTGAGTCCACCCGTCCCCCCCCCCTCCCCCATGGCAGAGGCCCCAAAGCCCACCAGTGCACCAAGGGCCCCCAGGCCAGGGCCGGGCGCCGGCGCATGCACCGGCCCAAGACCCCGACAACATACCCGCCAAGACCCGAGACCCCCGGATCAAGCCGGGACCCCAGCCCGGGAGCGACACTCCCCCAGAACCCCGAACCCGCGCCCACCCCAAACCCACCCAGGAGCAGCCAGGCCACCAGGCCAGTAACCTGCGCCCGCCGGTACAGATCGCCCAGAGGCCTGCATGCAGCCAGCAGAGGTCAATGCCCAGAACCACCAAAGCCACCTCCCCAGTTGAGCGCCATTGCCCCGGACCCACGACCCCCCATACCCCCAGCCCCGATATCCCCCACATCAACAACGATGCCCCACGGGACGAAATCAAAGGGGTTTACCCACCTCCACTACAGGTTGGAGCCAATCAAAGAAGCCCAGAGAGATTGTTCTGATGTGGAGGTACATGCTGTCTCAAGACTGATGTAATCTAACAAAAGGTCTTTATACTGTTTAATACTAAGAGTATTTTTATTTTTTCCAATTCATGATTATAGTTTTTTTTTTTTGCTATACATAAAGCAGTAAAAATCATGTGAATTGACTTTGTCTCCAAGGTGACATCATCTAAGTGACCCAATAAGCAAACTGACGGAGGGAGTGGAATATTACATCTCAGACACTTAGATAAGTCTTCACATATCCTGCACCAAAACTTCTGAACAGGTGGACAGAACCAAAATGCGTGGATGTGATTGTCAGGAATATTGTCTGTACACTGTGAGCCAACATTAGATGATGCGAAACCCATCCTGAACATCCGTTGACCTGTGTAGTGTACTCTATGAAGGATTTTGTATTGTATTAATTGTAAATTTTAATGAGTGTTCGGTAAACCTTAGTAATTTGGGAGGGTTAAGATTTAGGAATTCTAATACACTTGTTGGTATTTCAATTCTAGTGTTATTAAGGTTAAATTTATTTTTTGTTATAGATTTAATTTATTGATGTTCTAAAAAATTATTCTTATCAATCCCATATTGTGTTATTAATCTGTTAAATGGGATATAGTTTACGTCCTCATATATATGTTCCAAATATTTGATTCCTTTACACCTT